CAATCAAACCTGAAAGGTACATCTTGGCAAAACCTATGGAAATAATGTGCCAGGGATTTTAAGGATTCCCCAACCACCGTAGAGAGATAGATGAGGGGGCGTGCCACATCTTCACTTCTTCCAGAAGAAATTGAAGAGGGCTTTAGAAAAACTTTGATAAAGAGAGTGATTACTAGACTGCATCTTAAGAAGATGATGATGAAACTGAAAAAGCTAACAAGTTATAATCTTCACAGAATTTCTCAAGTGTTTCAAGAGGTGAAATGTGAAAAATTTATGACTACCTACATACATATTATGGTACAAGGTTTATATGCAGAACAATGTATACTACACTTTATGGGTAATTTATGTAATTTTCAAGGATGAATTTTACTATATGAGATTTTTGCCTTGTGCTGACTGTACTACCTAACTTCCAGATTAAGATGAGATTGTGAACTTCCAAAAGTATGAGATTATTATCTGTATAATTTAGTAGGAGCGGTTTTGTGGTTTTTTTTTTTTAACGGAAGAGAAACAGGTATTTGGGCTGCACACAGTTACTTGAGTGGGCTTTTTAGTTATGCAAATATGGTAGGAGTGGCACAATCCTGAATGTTTTTTCCATTGCAGTGGCCCTTCCCTGACGCCCAGGTATACAAAACTGATCTCTAGGAAGAAGGCAGATTATTTGCATAATGAATCCAGGACCTCCTAGGAGGGAGAAAGAAATTCCCTGGTAAGCTTCTCCTCCCTGTATTTATTTAAAAAAAATTTTTTTTTCTTTCAGGCAGTAGATGCTTTAACATCCTCCTTGTATTTGTAATTGGGTGTTCTTTTTGGTTGACAAGGTCCTTCCTATTCCCCCAGGGCCTAATGGCAAGAAAGGATACTGAAGGTCTTGAGGAAAAAGAAACCAATCAACTTCCTTGAGGAAGGGGAGTGTGGGTTGGTAACTTAGGCTCTGACAAAGGTCCAAAGTTTTTCTAGAAACTTGGAGAGAAGCATCGGCATCATTTGCCAATGCTGTGGAGGAACATTTCTTTGTACTGACACCTACATGTGGTTAAGAGAGGAACAATGCCAGCGAAGAACACAGGGTGAGTGCAAGGAGAAATGGCCTCCTTTGGATGGAATAATTTTTGGAGACGGGGGTGGGAGAAAGACCAAACAGAGAGTTTCATGTCTGGGTGATCTCTAACAATTGTGAGTGCTTGCAGTCTGAGTTCATAGAGGGCTTCCTACTGCTTACAGAGGAAATTCATTCTTTCGTTTTACAAATATTTATTGATTTCTTTTTACATGCCAGGCCCTGTTCCAGGCTCTGGGGGTCAAACAGCCAACAAAATAGGCAAAAATTCCTGCCCTCTGGGAGCTTACGTTGGGTGAGAGTTGGGGCGGAGGGAGAGGGATGGAAAAAATATATATATACTTATATGTTATAAGTATATATAAGATGGTGGTAAGCTCTAAGGAAAGAGATAAAGATGGGGAGTTTGAGGAAGGCTTCACCAAGATGGTAACATTTGAGTAAAGACTGAGCGGAGGGGGGTGGATACTTGGGGAGTGTTCCAGGCAGTAGGTGATCCAGGCACCAGAGGAGGGTGAGTGGCTGGAGTAAGGGGACAAAGAGTAGAGTTCCTTGTGGGCCAGTGCTATGTAGGTTCTTACACACCATTTTAGGCCACTGTAAGGCTTTTAGCTTTTATTCTGAATGAGACCAACAGTCACTGGAAGGAATATTTGAAAAACACAGAAAAGTGGAAAGAAGAAAAATAAATGGTTTCCATCCATGGTTCTCACACTCAAAGGCTGTGGCTGCTTTGATCACGTCGTGCTCCTTCTTATATCCTTCAGCAGCTTTCTTTGCTGATAGCATAAAATCCTAAATCCTAATCTGGCCCTTGCCTCTTTCTCCTAATCTTTTAGTTTCTCAAAATTTCTGCTCTCTATTGCCTCTTCCTATGTGGCTTTTGCATATACTTCTGCCTCGAGTGTTCTCTCTCTTTATTTGGGCTAGTTCTAACACACCCTTCAGATCTCAACTTTATTCTTTTTTAAAAATTTAATTAAAAAAATTTTTAAAAATTATTTTTATTTCAGAATATTATGGGGGTACAAACACTTTGGTCACATAAATTGCCTTTGCACTGCCCAGGTCAAAGCTACAACAGATCTCAACTTCCGTTCATTCATTCACTTATTCAATCTGTGTAGTTGCACAGGGTCCTATGCTTAGAAGGTCCCTGTGCTTAGTTTAATGCTCTGCTGTCACCATTTTGAAATTCTTAACAATTTTTGAACCAGGAGTCCTGCCTTTGTATTTTGCACTGGCCCCTGTATGTAGCCGGTCCTGCTGGTCATCGACTATGCACCATTGCATTGGTGTTGGGGCTACAGTGCAGGACAAAGGTGTGCTCTCTACTTTTGCAGAGCTTTCAGATTAGTGCAAGAGGTAGACATTAATCGAATGACCAACAAATAAATGTAAAATTTCAAGTTAGATAAATACTACAAAGGCAAGATTTCATATGGGAATTCGGTTTAGTCAGGGAAGTCAGGAGATCTTCTCTGAGGAAGTAGGTGTTTAGTTTGAGTCCCAAAGGATGATGAGAAGTGAACCAGGCTTTCTAAGGCTTCCGCCACACACATTTGGTTAGATACTCTTGTTCTATTTTCTGATGGCATCCTGACCTTCTCTTTTCAATAATGTTTATTAATATTGTAATTAATTGTGTACCAGCCAACTTTCTGGAGATGTCATAAACCCACAGGGTGTCTCCCTTTTTACCATTTTATCCTCAGAGCATGGCACGGTGCCTGGTATTTAGTATTTAAGTAGTAATTCTGAATGAAAAGATTATTGAATTTTTTAGTGTCATCTTTGTGTGCATAATTAACTTTTTTCCCCCATATATAATTCAGTAGCCTGCATTTTATTTTATTTTTGTAGAGACCAGCTCTTGCTATATTGCCTTGGCTAATCTTAAACTCCTGTCCTCAAGCAATCCTCCCGCTTAGCCTCCTAAAGCAACTGCGCCTGGCCAGTAGCCTGAATTTTAAAAGATCTTAGCACTATGAGAAATGTTCTTTTTCTTTTTTTTATAAACTTTGAAAAAAGGCTAAATCAGAGGCTTTGAAAAAATATTGGGATGTTCATGTTCAGAATGAATTTGAGGGGGAAGAGGTTAGAGGTAAAGAGATTAGGTTAGGAGACAATAGGTATAAAGTGGAGGAGGGTTGGAATTAATAGTGTTTATTAACTTAGCAACATTTCCTAGGGACTTACTATAAGTCAGGCACTGTATTAGGCACTGGCAATATAATGGTGAAAAAAAGGAGAGAATCCCTTCGTGGAATTAGTGTAGTGGATAGCAATATATTGGGGATAGAAAGGAAAAAAATCCTTTCCCCCCTTTTCAGCCTCTTCATAGATGTAGCAATGCCACATATATGGAGAATGAAAGCCTTCCATTAGAGATGGCCTAGAGAAATGTCTACAAAAATTCTGAAAATTCTTGCAGTTCTAGTGGAATATTTTTCTTGTTTCCCTGACAGATTTTTCTATTATTGCAACTTTCTCCTTTGAGGAATGATTTTATCCTTTTTTAGGTTCTTTTGACTATTGTTTAAAAAAATCAAAAGTAACTACTCAGTAAAAGGGAATGATTCATATGCTGCTATCTCTCTGAAAGACAGTCATTGTTTTGTTTTTCTGTATCGAAAGTCTTTTCAACTGGTTATCCTCCCTAACTTGAAGAAAACAACTGTCACTCCAAAATGTTATTTCCAATGACCTCTGGGCTTATTATCCTTTTCTCTTTCAAAGGCATTTTCCAAAATAGTCTTCCCTCAGTTCGAAAAGTAGCGGGGATTAAATGTGTAGTATTATGTATGTAGCAATTTCCCACTGCCTTTGCCCTGCCCCAGTTACTGCAATAGAAAATGTCTGGGGATAAATACATCTGTGGTAAATTCAATCCTCCTAGTGAAGATTATGAAGGAAACAAAGAAAGGACACTTCCATTCCAGAGAGAAAGGTGTTTGGCTTCTCAAAAGGTTAGACATTAATTCAGAACAAAAGGAACCGGAGGAAACAGGTATTAAAGAAAATTAACTGTGAATGTTAGGTACTTGGAAGGTCATTTGTTCCCTTGGGAAAGGAAGGAGGTGGAGGAAGGGAGTGGAGACAAGGCTTTGCTGTATAACCTTGGTCGCCTCACCTAAACTTCTTTGAACCCTATCTTAGCTGAAGAGTTGGGACCAAGGATCGCTCAGGTTCTTTCATCTCTACAATTCTAAGGTTCCGTGATTACGTGGGTTGAAATGGGCCATTCTGTCGATCTCCTAGTCTCCAGGAGGGAGGAAACTAGTGTTTGGGTAGGAACTGACTAATCTAATGGAGAACTATCAACACAGAGGTAGGCGAACTTCACAATTATGGGGTTTTGGATTGTAAAGCTGCTCTTGGAAAATTTCCAAGAGGGCCTTTTCCCCGTTCCTTTACCTGGTTTTACAATTTTCTTCACTATTTGGGATTGGGAAACGGGAAGAACCTATTTTAGATTGAGATTGTTCATTTGACTAAGCATTTTCCTTTTCCTTATTTTTGGACCCTTAAAAACAAACCGCCCAGAAACAGATCCTAAAGGGGTGGACGGGGAATTACGATTACGGGGTCTCGAAAGGCCGGTAAAAACCTGCTTCCGCATTTTAACCCTTTCTTTGGGTGTCGCGATCTTTTTCTTTAAATGTATATTTTTGGCGGAGTGGGCCTAGAGTGAGGTTCAGAACAGCGGAGGGGGCTGACGGATGCTGCTTTTGTGGGACGACTGGCGTGAGGCAGCTCTGGGTCGGGCCCGCGCGGGTTGCCGGGCGGGCTCCCAGCAACTAGGGCGCGGCTGCGGACTGGCGGGCGGACCCCGGGGAGGGGCTTCGCGGAGGCGCCGCGGCCGGAGCCGAGCGGGGCCGCCCGGGCTCGGCGCGCAGCGCGGCCGGGCGGGCGGTGGCGCTGCGGAGGCGGCGGCCGTGGCCGGCAGCCGTAGAGGAGGGGCCCTAGACTGGGGTGGCTGGCGGCAGCTGCCTCAGTGACGACTGCCGGTATCGCGGCGACCTGAAGAGACCAAGCCGCGGGCCCCGCTGCTGCCGCCTCTCCGGCTGTCTTCTTTCTCTCCCGGCGGGGGCGGCAGGAATGGGCCCCAACCGCCGCGGGCCCCGCACCCTGCGCAGCCCGTAGGCCCCAGTAGCCGGAGGCCAGCCGGCCTCTCTTTACCCCTCGCCCCAGCCAAACCGTTCCCACCCCAAATCCCCGGAAAGGAAGATGAGGGAGACGGGCCCGGCGCTTAGCAGCCACAGCAGCAGCAGCAGCAGCAGCAGCAGCAGCAGCGGTCGGGGGAGGGTGTTTCGCCGTTTCCTCTCAGCCGCCAGGACAAGATGGCAGCGGCCGCGGAGAGGGGTTGAGCCCGGGCTGGGTGGTGCCGCCTGCTGAAGCGCCTGGCTCCCTGTCCCCGGCACGGCCCTGCACCCCACCCTGGACATGCTCAGGGCTGCGGCCGCCCGAAGAAGGGAGAGCGCAGGCCTCTAGGAAGGTAAGGGAGTAAAGCGAGGGGCGCCCCCACCCCCGGGGTGGAGGTACCGGTTCCGTTCGCGGGGCCTGCGGCTGGATGGCCAGCAGACCCTCAGCCTGACCCTGGCCGGGCCCTGCTCCCCTGGAGCGGCCCGCAGTTGTGCATCCTGCGCCCCATCCGCTTCCCCAGAGCTCTCGTGCTCCGGGTTTCCGCCCCAGCCCCCGCCGCGTTGCCGGGTCTGGGCCGCTCCCTCGCGGCTGGCGCCACGCCAGGCCCGAGGCCGCCGAACGCCCGGGCCGCGCGGGGTTCCTGCGCGCGGTGGCGCAGCCTCCGGGAAGCCGCGCTTGGCCCTGGCCCGGGGGCCTTGGCCTCCCCCTGCCAAGGTTGCGCAACGTCTCTTCCCAGCAACCGAAGTTTTGTTTAGTCCCACTGGGGGCCTCTCTTTCCTCGACGCAGCCCCAGGCCGTAACTACGGAGACCTCTTTCATTAAGGGGAACAAACACAAACGCGCGCGCACGCACGCAACTTGAGCGCCCCAGTCGATGGCTGCGTCCCGGGCTTTGTGGCCCAGTCACCAGCGTAGCAGTGCGGCCGGTTTGGAGGGTGTCAACTCTGGGGACGTGCGTGCGTGTGATTGTTGGGGAGGAGAAATGTGATCCGCGGCTCCGCGTCCCCAGCGGCGGCGGGAGGAAGGCGTGGCGGCCGCGCGGCGGGGCTGTTGCCGGCTTCTCTCGTTACGGTGGCGGCCGCCCGCTTCCCTTCGCCGCTCTGGGAGAACCGGCGGAAAGGCTTGGGATGAGAATGTCTGTTTTCCTGTCGGGAGGGAGACGGCTGTTTTAAAATGGTATGTGGTTCTTGGGGAAGCCTGTTGTTTCCCAGCCTTATCTTTGCTTGAGGAATTGCGCTAAAGGGTGTGTGCGTAAATTACCTTGGACTTGTTACAGTGTAGTCATAACATGTTCAGTCCTTGAACCGTGTTTTCACAACCTCTTGCTGCTGTTAGGGGAATTTATTTTTCCACCTGTCAGTTCGCTGCTTCTAATTATAAGGAGCTTCTATTAGCAACAGCAGAAATTTTCAGATTATCTTCCAGTTTACAGGGAAAGCTCGTGGTTGGTTCTATTGTCAACTTTGTTTTGATGTTTCTCTGGTACATGGCCGGAAAAGTTAGCTGGTAAACCGGTTTGTGCTTGTGCTTATGTGTACTTTTTATTATTTGGAGATTGGCGGATTTTTTTTTCTTGTTTTTTCTATTTTAGGTATTTGCTTGTAAACTGTAGCTTCTGAAGTGGGAGTACTTATATTCAAACCATTTAAGTTAATTTCAAAGTTTTAATTGCTGGACGCATTAAATTTTTTTAAAGAGGTTCTCTTTCTGATCCAATTTTTGATGAAAACTTTTGAGTGGGATCAGTTTGTTTGCTTCCCGACTAAAACATTTTAATCCTATATTCTCATTTAATTTTTCAGAAGCTGGGCACGTCTCACCATATGTTTGATAAGTCTAGATTCTGCTTATGTTTGCAAGTGCAGTGCTAATTTTATACAATGACCAATGATAAGGTTTAGATAGGTCATGATTAAGCTTGGTATTTTAAGTAAACGAAATATGACTGACCTTTTAATAAAGTTTTCATAGTTTTATTGATTATCTTATGCCTTCATGCCACTTCTCAGTAACTGAAATTTAACCAACCAAATAAAGTTCTTTACTTTTAAATCAACAAACTATTTCTTGGTATATTTATGGCAGCATTCATAACTCCTATTTATGAAATATGCTTAACTTGTTTGAGGTTAATTTTTTTATTTTTTGAAATTTACTTATTTTTTCTTTGTGTTAAGTTAGAGACATGCTGAAATATTTGTGATTTTTTTGACATGTCATTGTTTTATGGGAAAATTTGTTCCTTAAGTTTTTTTTTTTTTTTTCCTACTTGAGGGAATATATTTTCTAAGAAAGAAATTTTGAAAGAAACCTTAGATTAAAACTTTTTAAAACGTAAGATGAGCTTGAAATCTAGAACACAACTGGCCATTAAATGTTTCAAACTTATATTTGGACATTGCTGACTGCAGTAGCTAAACATACATATTAGGCCAGCAGATCATAACATGGTAAGCCAGTCTTAGTTTATTGTCATAATACTTTTTCCATTGAACTAGTCATTATCTTGCGTATAAACCAGTCATTGGCTTCTGGACATGGGGTTTTAGAGTCACATTAAAGTAGATGGTTTTTATGAGATAATTCTTCTTGTAAACATGCTTGAAAAGCTATAGATCGTACTCTTAATTTTTTGGATGTTCTGTCAGTGGGATACCATAAAAGAGAGTGCAAATTACATAGGTTACTGTAGCAAGTATGGCATGGACACATAGGTATTTATGTTTAGTGCAAGGTATTGAAAACCTTTTTTTTCCTTGCAACTTAAGAAAGCAACAGCCATCAAATGAATTTTTTGATTAAACTTTTGTTTTTAAATATTTGATACATGAACACTGAAGGCATATGGAAAGCAAGAAGGGGAAGATGTAAATTTCAGAATGCTGAAATAATGTTTTCCAAACCTGATTCACATCCATTTAATAGAATATTTGTTTGCATATTATTTTCCATTTGAATGTTAGAATGACTTATCTTTGTAACTTTTGAAGTTTACTTTGTCAGGTAAAAGGAGTTAACTTATTAAATGCTGTTCTCATTGCAGCAGTTCAATATGACGATAAGGTAGACTGATTACACTATTGGTGGCTAATTCAAAGACATAAAAATATAGTTTCCATTGCAACATCACATTTGAGTTTGGAGATGAAAAGATGTCATGGTGATATTTAGATTTAAGAATGGTCTAAGGAACTTTGAAATTCTCCATATTTAAAAATACTCCCAGAAGTTGTTATTCCTGCCTCTTCACTATTAGAGGACACAGAATAACTTGATATTGTTGCCAAAATAAATATTTGTGTTGTAAAATTTCTGGGTAGCAGTTCTAGTTTTCTAATGTCCAAAGTTGAAACTTCCAATGTGGTATGTGTAACTTGGAAATTACTCCTAAAGACTAAAATGTTAAAATGGAGGAATCTATCAGTGTTTATTTGTTTTTAAAGGTACTCCTCTTCCCCCACACCTTAACTGGGATGTAGTATTATTTCTCTCTGAGGGAATAAAGACAAAGCTGAAAGCTTTGTCATGGGCAGTCCTTTGTATGTGATACCAGTGTAAGTCTAAGGAATTATTTCAGATGTCCTAAATGGTTCTGGATCCAGCTGCTTAAAAATATATATCTGGCCTAGTACCTTGAAACACATAATATGAGTTGAATAAGGGAATATATTTGGAGTTTTGAATCAGTGGAGACTTTTAGGGTAGTTAGAGCACTTATGTGGCTGACTAAAGGAAGTATAGTTCACTTCTTTTGGTTGGCTTGGTGTAATTAAGAGTGGTTTGGAGGGAAATCAACTTAGTATTAGTGTGCTGCTTCTGTAGCTTTGCTATAGCTGGTCTTATTGACCTGATCTGAGTTACTGTAGCACCAAGGTGGAATAGATATCTGGAGGATTTATGTTACACATTTATAAATGTTTGTCAAATGAGACCTTGAGCTTTTTAGCATATCAGGCTGTTCTCAGTTGATACATGGAACATATGTCACTAAACAAAGGCAACATATTGCCTTGATTGTGAGACACCACTCTTATGCTAGGGACCTAGAGCCTCTGCTCTTACTACTTGTGTGGAAATTAAAGAATTGGATGAGTATTGACAATATGTATTGTATTTTAAAGGTGGCATTTGTGGTTTGGGGACAGTTAAGTTATTAAAGTAGATTTACTTTGTCTTTTGTATTATATTTCACAGTTAATGCCAAGTCAGTATTTTAGAAATTTCTTTTTTTCAACAGAAGGTCTTTGAAATGGAACAAACTGAGGACAGTACATTTCACCTTAAGTGTATTTTGTTACCTTGGATGAAACAATTTCTCTAATTTTCTAAAATAAGGTGAGGGTTTTTTTCCTCCTCTAGGAGACAGGGGGATGGGTGGTAGGGAGGCAGGTGTGGCAGGGGAAGCTGAGCAGTAGAAGGTAAAAGAGCTTGGTTTAATTACATTTGGGAGACTGAAATATGCTTTAATTTTAAATGCCCAAGTTGTTAAGAGTCAGAGTTCACTTATTGAAAAATTGTGGTAGCCTCAGGGAAAGATTAAGAATAAGCCAGTGGGGCGGGCGCGGTGGCTCATGCCTGTAATCCTAGCATTCTGGGAGGCCGAGGCGAGAGGATCGTTTGAGCTCTGGAGTTCAAGACCAGCCTGATCAAGAGTGAGACCCCGTCTCTACTAAAAATAAAAAGAAATTAGCTGGACAACTAAAAATATATAGAAAAAATTAGCCGGACGTGGTGGTGCATGCCTGTAGTCCCAGCTATTAGGGAGGCTGAGGCAGGATGATCGCTTGAGCCCAGGAGTTTGAGGTTGCTGTGAGCTAGGCTGACGCCACAGCACTGTAGCTCGGGCAACAGAGTGAGACTCTGTCTTGGAAAAACAAAAAAAAAAAGGAATAAGCCAGTGATACATGCCAAATGATCAATCTTGTGAAATAATAGCATCTCTGTTTATCATCCTTGATTTCAGTTTTTAACATCTTTTTTCCCTCTTGCTTCCCTTCCTCTTTGTGTCTTTCGTTTCTTCATTTCTACAGTCTGAAAGACTTTTCCTTAACGTAGAATTTAGGGAAGATAAACTTTCTCTACAATAAAAAAAGTTGTATCACAGGCCTAACCTGAAATCAGAAGTGAAAAGCATAGACCATAATATTGCTATTAAAATGAGTTTGATTTGTAGGATTTTTTTTTTATTTTTGGAGATCCTTAAAAATGAAACTAAAGTCCATATAATACATAAACATAGGTTTTTCGAACTAGGAATTAAAACTCAGACTCCTGGTCTCAAATGATCCTCCCACCTCAGCCTCCCAAAGTGCTGGGATTTCAGGCATGAGCTATGGCGCCCAGCCCATTTTT